GGAATTTTGGGAATTTCCATAAAGCCTCCATTACCTCTAAAAGTAGCGTCTTTGTGAGTAAAAAGACTCAGCCCTCATTCAGCTTTGGTTGTTTCCATTTAAATTAAGTTTCATAGGACTGAAACTTAATTATTGTCCACACAAACAGAGTGAAAAACATCTAATAAAATTCATTATCGGAGCTCCAGGAATAGCTTCACCTCAGCTAAATCACATATTATGGGAATAAATGGTCCGTGGGAGCACAGATATTAGTGGAGCAGTGTTTAAAATGTGTTTAAGTTCATGTTTATGCATTTAGCATACGCTTTTAAAATAGCAGATGCTTTTAAAATTACATATTTATATGGCAAGCCATTCAGACTGAGCCAAAATGAAGGTTAATTATGTTTAAAAGGGGTTTAATTACCACATATCGATATTTGGAATCCCCCTTTCATACAATCTCTCATATAAAAAACAAAAAAAGGAAGTTTTCCGGAGCACAGTCATCGTTTTAACTGTCGCAGAGAGTTTTTTTCCTAAGAAAAATGTGTCACCACAGTAAACATTGCAAGACCATCCGCGGTTTGCAGCGTGTGCACGACACAATGCGTCCACAACACAAAGTCCTGTCTGGACATGTTGCCAAACTACGATTCACTAAATGCAAGTGCAAAAATGGTGACATGCTGCCAAACAACGATTCACTAAATGCAAATTCACCTCAAACTGTTCCGGCGAATGGGTGAAGTTTAAGCTCAGAGGAGGAGCAAAAGTCAGCGTTTATTAGGTTTGCAAAGAAAAGAAGCGAGAAACAGGTTTTCTTTAAAGCTAAAACTGGCAAATGAGTCGGTTTTCGGTTGTTTTTCAGGGTATGAATATATAAACTGTTTGTCATTTAAGGTGGAACTCGTCTAAATTGGAGCTGGAGGCGTTAAAGGCCGACTGTGTGGGCTTTTTCCGTGTTTTTATAGAAAACATTTCCCTTTTTTCTGGTTAAAGGTAAGAAAAGCCACTCTGAGCTCGGCTTTTTCCGCCATTCTTCAGAAAACCTCCAGAGATGATCACCTTTTTGGGTTTTTCGTTGGGTTTATCCGCCCCCCGTTTGCTGTTATCTGCCTCCTCTCGCCGCCTCTCACTATCAGTGGTCCGTTTTTTTGGCTCAGCCCTCTCGTCTGGCTACTATTAGCTGCCCGGCCAGCCTCGTGTAGCAAATTACAGACAATTACATCGGCTGCCAGTGGGCCCGCGGGTACTGGTCGTTCCTTTTTTGTTTGTCTCTGGGAGGAACTTCTCCGGGCCCAGACGGAGGTCACAATGTGGGCCAGACTCCCCCCAGAACCGGCTCCATCTGCCCCCTGAGTCAGGACAGGGCTAAAGGCTGGACTCAGACGGAAAAGTTGGCAGATATGAGGTCTTTTTTTTTTTTTTTTTTTTTTTAACATTCTTTATTTAAGATTATTATGAATCCAACACACATACACATGAATATTTATGCATGCGCTTACATAAAGAAAAACCAAAAACCAGA